ATACCCAAAGCAAAGGACTTTGAAATTGCATAGTTTGTCTCATTTAAAAACCCAAACTAAGATGTTTGGGCCTCTTCGTCAGCAGACAAATTTCTGTTTTGAACGTATGCATGCCGAATTTACCAGCATTTTTCCAATCGTGAAGTCTATGAAGAACGCTCCTGTGACTGCAGCCACAAGACACTTGTGTAAGAGAAATTATGAAATTAAACAAGGCAAAGAGACTGGAAATTACTTATGTAGTAGGGATAAAATTGTAAGTCCTGAAGATGTGCCAGTTTCATCTTTGCCTGAAATGGCAAACATTCTCTCCAAGATTCCGAATCTTCTAGAAACTAGTTTGATATCAAGAGCGAAGGCCATTGAACGTAGAGGCAGCACGTGGGGAGAAGGTGTTTGTATTTTGGTTGACAAAGAGAACAATCTCTTCGGAAGAATTTCTAATGTTTATGTGTTGGAAGATAATGACATCTTAATCACATACAATCTTCTAATGACAAATTGGATCTCACAATACAATGCATTTGAAATTAAGCAATGCAGTCAAGAGAACTGTGTCATAAAATTATCTGAACTTCAGTACAAGTTTCCAATGTTAAGGTTTAGTTTTGGACTCCAGAGAGGCCTCAAAGCTTATATTTTACCTCAGAAACCCTTTGACAATTACTGCTAAATTGAAAGGTAAAGCAACTTCCATTTTCCTATCTTTTCTTCTCATTGTGTGAATGCTTCTGTATGTTTCCACCTCCATGTACTTTGGTTACATTTTGTGATGTGAATGGGTAAATTTTTGTACAGCTTTTTAATATAACATCTCTATTTCATTATAGGTAATCTCTCCAACTTGTTTATATATTGACATAAGAATGGAACACAACATAGCTTAGACAGACTAAATCTGCCATAAAAATTATAATAACAAACAAAAAGTATCACAGACTCAGCAATTCTGCAACTCAATGGCAAATGACTTAAAAATATTTGAATTCTTTGTTTAACATAGTAAGCTGCTACTGAGCGAGATATTACAACAATGTCAACTTAATGGTATGAATAATTTGGAAAGTCCCAGTCCAGCTGGTGCTTGTTAAATGTAAGTAAGGTTATTGTTTATAAAATATTGATTCTGGAAAAGAAAACATTAATTATCAATTTTGTTTCTGTTCTCTTATATTTTGCAGATGTGCCTGAAATTCACTTACATGTTTTCTTGGAGATCCTCTTAACAGCAGCAAAGAATTTCTTAAAGAAATTCCTCACACATGAATCAATTTGCTTCTTTTCTCCATGTAAAATATATTCTAAAGCCCTTAGCTGCTTCTTGTATTGCTCTGGATAAGCTACTTGATACACCAAGTAACTAGCTATGAGAAGAGCAGTGCATTGAAATGCTGTTGGCTCCTTGTGGGAGAATAAATAACCCCCATCAAACACCACTGATGCACTTTTAATATCTTTGTCGGTTACTGCCACAACAAGTGCTGGTGCCTGCGTCTGAGGTATGTCATTTAGAGGAGCAGCAGAGTTGTTATGTGCCTGTGTGTAAAGGTAAACTATTAGTGCTACAGTATTATTTAATTTTATTTTATTCTGCTATCATTTCTAACTTGATCTTAAATTGCAATGGTTTTTTCTTTTTGTTTAAGGTATCTGTGAATACTTACGTCCCATAACTGTACACAAGGAAAATCATTACGATTGTCATCCCTGAAGTATTCATTGATAGAAATGACTAACTTAATCTTTTGAAGCTCATCTTTGGGCTCTTCAAGAGATAAGATCATGCTCAGTGGTTTTACACTGTCATTGAAATTTTGCTCGATTAAAGTTAGTGACAAAGGAACCCTCGTGGAGTAATCAAACAGGAGCTGCAGCAGAGGAAGGTTCAACATAAATTATTACTTGCAAGGTGGGGTTTTTCTTTGGTTGATAGTGCTAGTGTGATATCATTGTCATTTTCTTACCATTTCAGTATTTTTCAGGAAGGGGTATGTCTCCATCATTTCTGTTGCTGAATGGCAGCGGGCATATTCTGCTCTTAGAAGTGGGCTAATCTGGATTGCATTCTGGACTGTAGCCTTGTTCATCACTGGCTGCCTTAAAATGTCATCAGCTTCTTCTGCTGTCAGCACCCTGAAAATAAACAAAGCCCTAGGTGAAATTTTTGTAAATTTTCAATTTGAATTTTTTTTTTCTGACTAGTATCAACTAACCGAGGGCCATCCACCAATTCTTCTTCAGTGTCTGTTTCATCTGCCTCTTGTGCAGCCCTTTTTGCAAGTAATCTTGGCAGTTTGTTTAGTTTGTAATTTCGAAGATTACGATTGCTGTCACTGAGCCTCTTAATAAGAAGTTTCTGTGAACAGGAAAGATGAAAAGTTATTACAGTCCTCTTATACTTATTACCTTAAACAGATAATACTTGCCTTGTACAAATAGATGTTTGGAGCCTTCATTGAAATTAGCCTATTAACCACTTGGCTGCGCAGGATATTGTGCTCTTTCCTTGTACAATACAGCCCTTTGGTAACGCTCAGAATGTGGGACTGGAGAAAACTGTTCATTCTTCGAGTATGGTTCTGCTTGATGTAAACTAAACCCTTGTTAATGCTCTCAATCAGCAGTTGAGGAAAAGGTGGTAGAACAGTATATATGGTAATTCTTTCCCCAATCAATCTTCTTCTCTGTATCAATTTAAGCGTTTATTAGTATTTCAAGTTGTAATGGACAACAGGCATTGAACATATGCAGGCTTACTTACTTTATTTGGCTTCCTCCTTTTAACTGTAGAAGCCTTTAAACAAATAATTTAACTTTGTTAATTTTTTAATGTATGATATTCAATGATTATACTTGAACTTCAGAGAATATTACCTTTGCAGTATCTTGTTGCTGCTTATCTGAACCTTGGATTTCTTGTGCATTTCCACAGACTGGGGACATTGGCAAAGAGAGAACGCTATCCTGAGTATCACCCGAACTACCTGCTTGTGCGTTTCTAGAGGCTGAAGGTGGAGTTGTAGGTGTAGAGAGAAGGTTTTCCAGTGGGCCATCTTTGCCACAATCAGTGAAATACAAAAACAAAATATAAGTGAAATTTGTATAGTAATAAATACTTCAATGAAAAACATGTCAATTAACACATTAGAACTTAAATAAATGTCTTTTAGGATTTTAAAATGTATATTGTATAAAGCCATTTGCTGTTATTACCTTCAGATGTATCATCTGTTATCTTTTTTGATTTAACGGCTCTAGGTAGTGAGACTCTCCTGCAATTCTCCTTGTCAGCTGTACCTGCTGGCAAATCATAAAACCATTACATAATTAGGTATTGTGTATCATCTCATATTGTCGAATGTTTTAGCAGCACCACTCACCTTTCCTTTTTGTGTTTTTTCGGGTTCTCAGTTTTGGAACTGGATCTACAGAGTGAAAATACATTTAATAAATACATTAGTTTTTAATTTCAATTATTAAAATTAAATTCTTTACTGTTGGAAAAAGTATGCTTACCTGCAATATTGAGAATTTCTTGCAGTCTCAGTCGGTTGGAGTTGAGGGCGGCAATACTTTCATTCTCATACCTGTCATCCTTCTCCGAATCAGATGACGATGAAACCTCATTAATGACCCTGTAATTCCATAAGAGCATACTTGTCATGGCAATAATCTGTAGAAAGCAGTCCATGTCACAAGGTCATATTTGTACTTCATTATTAGCAGCACTGAAGAGTCATGACTTTATTTACCTCTGAGACTTTGGTTTGGGTCTTGCAGTTGTACTTCCATGCTGGGATTTCTTTGTCATTAGCGGCATTGTAGCTTTACTTGTGCTTGGTGTACTTTCCTCTTGGTTTTGTCCCTGTGGAAGTTTCTTTGTGGTTGAGAAACTATTGAATCTGCTGTGTATGGTGTGGACTCCTATCTGGCTTAAGAACTCTCTATCTGAGTTACTGAAATAAGACATAGCTGTTAGTAATTCATCTCTACAATACTATGCTCATAGGAACTGAAGGAAGGATTTCCTTACCTGCTTGTGCAGGGTAATTCTGTCCGTGTGAAATGGTAATAATTTGTATTAAATCAAATGTTTATTGCAATTCCTGATAAATAATTAAAAAAATGAAATTTACCTGTTTGAGTTTGAGATCCAGAGACAATGGGCGTCTGGTCCACTGTCACCACATCAGACGAATCCTACATTGACAGACAACAAGGAAAGGTACAAAATCTCTCATTTCACGAAATTGAACCCAAGAACTGCTCACCTCGTACTTACCAAATCGAAGGCCGCGAAGAAAACCTTCACCACTAACCCGTCTTCTAAAGTGTCCCATGGCTCAACTTCCAAGTCCATGCTAAGGCGCGAGTTGAAGGTCTTGAAGGTCGGGTAGTGGGTCTGGCACCTTCGAAGCAGCACAGGGTCCCGGGAGCACAACTTTTCAAACTCCTCCCGAAGCGTACTCTCCTCTGCTGTGTCCAGCCTCAACAATTTCACCCGCCCCTCAAATTGCAACACTACTTCAATCATTTTCACCGCTAAGCCGCTGATCCGTAATTCTTCCACTTTCCAACGAGTTGGCGCCTCAACGGATTCAGCTGGTTCCCAGTGTAAGCGCAACAGAAAAGTAACACCAACCCACAAAGCGAAGAAAGAAAATGAGCCCGACAGCGAACCTAGCTCCCGGCTAAATCACCCAATACTTAAAAGAAAATTTTGAGCTCAATTTCCGACGCAGACTTTTTATTTTTTGGTAGGTAACTTATCATTTATCATTCAGAAAACGTGCCTATTGTTTTAAGTTGTATTTTCGTAGGTTGGCACCTCTGGAAAACAAATGCCATCGCAGCAGACGACACGGCCGCGAAAACAACAAACCCGCGGCCGCCGGGACGCCGAGAAATGACATTTCTTCTCATTTTCGCGACGTTTTGTTTCGTTGTTTTGATGTGACAAGTTATAATATGAAGACAGCTATGACCGCAGAAGTGGAGGAAGTATGAAGAAGTGTACTGTCGAGCTTGGGCCTCGGCTGGGGCGCGTCTCTGCACGTCTCCTTCGCAACAAGTTTTGGTGCCCTTGTCTACAGCATGAGGTTAGCTATGTGTAGCTGCAAAATGAATCTGGGATGATTCATGTCTTCAAGCCTGTAGGTTTGCACTTGTGACCTATGTGGTTTGTACAGCATAGACATTGGACCAGTGGTCCCATGTTTACACTAGTGAGATGTCGTCTTTTTTAATCGCAGAAATAGCCTGTCGTTGTTATGAAGCTTTGGTACAGTGACGCAGACCAAGTCTCTTGCCCTACTCTCAGTAAATAAACAAACCATTTGAATCATTCAAAGGAGTAGCGAAATTCACTGAATCAAACCATTCTAAACTAGTGGTTCACATGCTGCCATTCGCAGTGTGCCTGGCAAGCAGGCTTTATTGTGAAGCGTGCTTGGCAAGCACGCTCCAGGAAGGAGCGTGCTTTGTGGTTTACTCCCTGGGGGAGCGTGCCATGCATGCTTTTCATTTTCTAGAGCATTTACGCTCTTCCCAAGGGCATAAAACGATTTCTGCCCTTGGGAAGGGCGTAAAAGAGTGTCTATGCCTCAAAGGGCGTAATAGAGGACTTCAAAGAAGCTGTGGCCCGGAAGATGAACAAAAACGGAAGTAAGAAATTAAAGTATCTATGAGAAATATACGCTGCGCATGAGGGTCCTCAGCGTATATTTCTCCTGGAAACTGCAATTTCTTACTTCCGTTTTTGTTCTTCTTCTTCCGGGCCAGAGCTTCTTTGGAGTACTCTATTTTTGTGCCTTTGTTTTACCAGTTTAATTTGTTATTGAGAACCGCAAAACCGAACGTGTTCTCCTTTGTCCAATGCAATCGCGCATTCTGCTTCCAGGTCTACCACCCCAACGAGTGCCTGGATGTCTTGGAACTGAGCGAAAGGGAGGAACATTGCCAGGAACTGGATGACGTGCTCAAGGACGCCGGCCCGCGAAAGGTAAGGGAAGGTGGGGCACCCTGGTACAGGGCTACCATGTGACATTGTCTTTTCCTCTCAGGGCTTGCTATCCAACAGCGGTAAGAAGGCTCAAAGGAAGGTATCATGAAGGGGCATCGACGTGCAATAGGTCGTGACTCTCCTTCGAAAATGGTAGCGATCAGAATTTAAAACTCTTGGAACAGCTCATTGGAAATTTTTTCCATTTCACGCCGCGCCCGCTTTTTACCGTTGAAATACATTTTTAGGACATATACCTTGCAGGATGTTCTTCTTTGCTATTTCAAGCGCGAAATATGAGCAACTTAACTGATCCAGGAAGCGGAAGAAGGGAATAATTTGACTTATCTCCAAATTGAGTTTTTATCTTGAGATTGTGCCTCAGGATGGTTTGCATCATTACACCAAATTTTTTGACCCTATTCCTAACAGTTTAGGGGGGAACCCTGGTGAAAAAATCGCCAAAATTCCAAAAAATAGTATTTTCAAAGTTCATAGATAAAAATGTGCATAGTAGGTTTCAAATTCAACAGGTTGAACACCTTTAAGCTAAGTGGGTAGTTTCTTTATCATTTGGAAGGAAATAACATTGAGATCAGTTGTCGTTGGCTTCTACGCTCAACTTCACAGCTTTGCTCAGTCGACAAAAAATTTTGTCGTAGAAAGACTTCCTGCGTTCCTGGTTAACACCTACATGAGTCGTCTTGCATGGACTCTATTCATTGATGACTTGTCCACTTGTCGACAAATTTTAGTGACAGAATCTTGATATCAGCCCTACTTTTTTTTTTAAACACACCTTTAAGTTTGAAAAAAGGGAAAAAAATCACTTTTTTTTAAATGTTGAAACTTGAAAACTCATATCTTAGGACAAAAGTTGAATTTGAAAATTCCGTCACTAAAATCTCTTCTATACATCTTCAGGATAACCCAAAAAAATTTTCAAGACTTTCCGTCCCAATGAAAGATGCAGGATGATTTTTCCCCAACGCTCCAAAAAACACTAAAAAGCCACTTTTCTCAGAGACCGTTCAACATTTAGGATAGAATTTTGTTTTAGAATTTAAGAGAAAATCCACATGAAAAATGGATATAACTCAACTTGACCCCTTTTACGGTCCAAATTTAATCGGAAAATGGAGCTAACTCAACTGAAGTCCGCATAACTCCATTGCACAAAATGCCAAAAGGAGATAACTTCACTTGTGTCTTTATGAATGTGACGTTAAAAGAATCAACTCAACTTAACTCCTCACCCACTAGTTGGAAAAAAGAGGTAACTCCAAAAATGTGCCAGAGAAATACAGACTACGCAGACCTCAGCTCTACTTGAATTGTCTCCAAATTCCGCCTTGTTTAGGAGAACTAAGTAAACATGGTTCCGTAGTCCATTCCAACGTAAAGATTTAAATCACAAAAATCGTCTACAGAGTGATGCTACACTTTCAAAAAAATTTCACAGTTCTTTCATAGGCTTTCTTGACAAAATTGCAATTGCATCATTCATCTGATTAGATTAAGTTTACCCTGCAAACAGTTTTTTGTGTCTCCTGAAAATTGATGAGAATTGAGTTATCCCCTTCTTCCGCTTCATGGATCAACTTAAAGGATTGAAACCCCTGTATCTGAAATGTTTCATGCACATTCCCAAATTAAAAATAGTTGAAATCACTGTTTTTGTCCATTTTTTCACTTGGGTCGTCCATTAAAAGCGTTCAAGGTACCAGAAAATGTACTTCAAAGTTAAGTTAGAATCAAACCTAAATTTATCCAGTTAAGTCTAAATTTTACGTTCCTCCGCGCGGGTTAAAACCTTACTGCTTGCATTACAGTTCTCTCTCCGTTGTTTGGAGACAGTGGAATAGCTGTACTCTTGGACAACTGAGCCGAAAATCTATCTGAACCCCCTTCCGGCTTTGCAGGTGAGGCGGCTGGTCGGAGTGGACTGCGCCAAGCGACCCAACTGGTGCCAGGCGCTGTTGCAGCGCGTGGCCCCTCACGTGGAGTTGCTTAGGGTCAGCGGCGCTCTCCGCAGACACTTAAAAGTGATTCAGCAAATGCCTTCACTACGCTACTTGTATGTCCATGCTGAAGATATAGCCGTGGAGGATGCCCCGGCACTGCCTCTGCAATTGGTGGACTTGAAAGTGGTGAACGTCTCGGAGCAACACCTGCTGTCGGTGCAGCGCATGCCCAACCTGCGCAAGCTCGCCTTGGATTGGGATGAAGATCCGTTGGACGTGACGTTCCCCCCGCTGCCGGAGGGTCACCGCGGCCTGGAGTGGCTCTGGGTGGCTCTACATCCGGTGTCCACAGTGCTGTCGCTGGCCAAGGCCCACGCCGCCACGCTGCAGGAACTGCGAATTTTGTGCGCGTCCGAAGGGGACTCGGAGTGGCACTTCGAGGACCTGGCGGAGGGGCTGCACCAGTGCGGGCTGGTGGCGTTGAGACGCGTCGTGCTGCTGCGTGCTGGAGCTCCAGGCTACCCCGACGAAAAGCTGCCCCACACCAAGGACACGTGTACGAAGCAGAAGAATGCTATCTGGGACGAACTGGTGGTGGCCAACACGATGCAGACCGTCAAGGTCCTATGCGGCGAGTGCGACGAGTGTCCGGACTTCCCTGCGTTAGGGGAGTTCGACTGGATCGACCAGTAACTGGGAAGATGAGTGGAGGGGATTGTCCACCTTGGGATTTCTGGAGATTGTCGGTCTGTTTTTAAGATTGTTCTCTTTTTTTGTGGTGACCCGGATCTGTTTTCAACTACGAACCACAATATCTGCTTCATCACCACATAGAGTTGTAATTAGCGGACATTTGTATCGAGAAACAACAATAAAGAATTGAGTGCAATGTTGCTTGATTCCTCTGGCATTCCACAATCTGCTCCATTTATCAGAAATATACCGTTCATGTAAATTTTGCGAGAATGTCTGAACCATGTCTTAAATCCTAATCAAAATTCACGCACCTCTGAAAGCTGACATTCTCAAAACTTGTTCTGATATTAATGGGCTGAGTTCTACGGAATGTCTGAATAAATTTCCAGGATTCAGAGGCGTGCGAATTTTGATCAGAATTTTGGACAAGTTTCTGACATTCTGTCAATTTCCACGGTAGAACACAGCACCGTGTTGCGGCTATTAAACGATTGATCGTGAAAACGTTCTACTTTGAACGACCAAGACCGACTCAACGATTTATTTAGTCAAGCTCTGGGAGATCTTTCTTCGCACTTAAATACTTTTGAAAGCGTTTCGTGTTGTTAATGTGGCAATGCCCTTTGATCCTTGGTTACTCTGAAAAACCAAACGTGGTCTAGACCACACCAGTTGCGCCTTCGACCAAGTTTGGTTTTTCAGTGAACTTTCCGATCAATGCCCCCTTTATTTGTTGCAAGAGTGCAAAAGCATCAGATCTCAAATCAATGCCTTTCTAAAGTGCATTAAAAATAGACGCCCTGAAAGATTTTGATGCCCAAAAGGGCGTAAATTGTACGTCCTTGCGTTCCCAGTGAACCCAGGAGCAGTTCAAACACTGAAATTCGAAGGGCGAGACATCTGACCGATTTTCGGTGATACAAAAAGCATGACCGAAAAACGGTCATACTTAAATCAGGGGGCGGCAACGGCCTAGGAGGCGCGTGAAGCCATGCGCGAGTAAGGTGCAGGGGTTACTTATTTTGCTTCGATTGTAAGATCTAGACCGTTGATTGCAAAACGCTTTGCACAGATCGAAAAGCCACAAAATTTGGGGTGCATTAGGCCTAGTAGACTGCCCGATACTTCTAATTCAACCGAACACAAGGGCGAAATCATTTACATCAACATGGCGCATTCGAGTTTTTTCCTAAATTTTATGATTTTTGTGTTTTTCGGTGTTTTTACTGCACCTTAATATTAGGTAAGGGAGGAGTTTCGAGAAGGGCAATTAGCCTAATGCACCCTAAATTTCAAGCCCTTTCTATCGGTGCAAAGTGTTTTGAAAAACACTGTCTAGTTTTCATAATCTCGAACAAGTGCGCAACCTCTGCACTGACGGCGCGAGCATCGCTTCACGCTCTCGCTAGGCCGTTGCTACCCCCTGCTTAAATTTATGACCAAAAAAAGGTGAGACATCAGCGAGACTGGCTATTGTTTAGCTTGGGGATATATCAGCCTTTACCTGTGATACACTATAAAGTATGACCGTTTTTCGGTAATACATGGAAGTATGACCTTTTTTCGGTCTTACATTTCAGTATGACCCTTTTTCGGTCGTACATTTAAGTAATACCGTTACAGCGGTCAGAAGTCTCACCTTTCTATTTTCAGTGAAGGAATTGGTTGAAGTCGGTCGGTCGGCGTGCCTTGGCCCTGGCGACGCACGTCAGTGTCAACAGAAGTTGGGAGAGGAAGACGTGCCTGCGGACAGTTGGCGCGGCAAACACGGCCGCGTGGCGAGTGCGTGGCACTCATCGATAACATCTTTTCCGGCTGGGCCTGCTGCGGGAGCCTCCTCGACGTCCGGTGGGAAGTCCCATGGCGCTCGGCCTCCTCGCGCTGGCGTGCGGCGCGGGCGCGCTGCTGCGGCCGCCGGCCGACCTGCACTGGTAGAGCAAAGGCGTTCAAAGTATAGCGCCCTCCACTCTCATCCCAGCACTCTAAATGTTGTACGGTGAAGATTCTTCATATTATGGTGGAAATGTTGCATAATATGGTGGTGCAGCTGACTTTATAACATACCATTGTGCACTGCGCCTTTTCGATATTTTGAAGAATTTTGTTTATATTATGGAGAAAATCTCCACCACAATATGGTGGCGCAGCCTTTCATCGTAAGACATTTACTGTGAGGAAACGTCACGTTGAAACGAATGTGACAGAATGTCACGCTCCTTTGAGCATGGTGTCATATTCGTTTCAACGTGATGTCAAGTTCCTGGAGTGAGAATGTCAGTCTTTAACGACCTTCAAGGGTGCAATGACGCCTTTGGAAGGCCATTACAGTTTTGCCGTGCAGCCCTGTACCAATGCACGCCCTCGCAAGGGCACAAACCGCGCTACTCCGCCCTGCAAATCCAAATACGGGGCAGTCTGATACTTTCTTGCGTGAACCAAAGTGACCACGCTTTGAAGTGAGAGCCACGTTTTTCCCACACTTGTAGTTGTAAGACACCGTTGATCTCACGCTTGCTACCTTCGGTTCTCTAGTTCAATGCCACACGGGCTCCACGTTTGCTAGTGTAAGACAAACCGTGGGGTGATGATTTTGTTGTCACCCAATGTTGGGCAACAATGTTGCATCACCCATTTGAGGGGTGGTGACTCATTCATTGTCGCGTCTAGAATTTTGGCCACCTTAACCGGTCTTCTGGTCCACTGCGCGATCACGCCTAGTTAGGGTCAGTTGGGGTTCATTGGACACGGGGTAAAAATGGGACAGCTGGTTCTTAGTCAAGATTCGACGTTTTAGAACTCATGCATATCAAACGTTACTTTCAAACTAAAAGCATCACACTAGGTATGGCATGAGTTCAAAAATGTCAAATCTTGACCAAGAATCAGCAGTCCTATTTGACATGTGACAGCTCTTCAAATCGAAGAGCGTACATTGTATGCTCTAACTGGAGCATGCCTGCAAGCACGCTCCAGCTAGCGTATGCCTGCCAAGCATGCACTTACTGGTGCATATGCCATGTACACGCTTCCTGATGCAGGCAACTCCCCATCCCCTATGCACTAGATGCATGCTTCAGTTAGCGTGCATGGCATGTATGCTCTAGGAAGTGCATGCTTATGCTTGGCAGGCATGCTCCAGTTAGAGCATACCATGTACACTCTTCGATTTGTAGAGCAGGCATGCTCTAGTTACAGCATACAATGTGCGCTCTTCGATTTGTAGAGAGAACTTCAGGGAACTTCACTTCGTATCTTTAGGGAATTCCGCGACGCTGTCATGTGCGAATGACACACATTTTCACCCCGTGTCCCACTATGTCCCCAACTGATCGACCCTACGGCATAGTTTTCCATGCCTTTGGCCTTCCAGTGCGGACACGCCCCCCGAGGCGCTGTGCGCGCTGTCCCTGGTGCCGGCCCTGCTCCGCCTCAGCCCGCAGCCCCGCCTGTTCGTGGTCGGGGCCGCCCCGTGGCTCGGCGCGTTCCTCGGCCGCCTGGCCGGCGAGGGCGTGGCCGACGTCACGCTGCTCAGCCGCTTCGACCACGACCTGTCGCCGCGCATGACCCAGGCCGACGCTCTGGTCATGGTGAGGCCCCGCGCACGGCGCAAACAGTGCCTAGGATGGGTTGGATGCACGGTGGTTGGATGGGAGAAATTATTACCGTAAACTGGGGTAATTTGAGACGATTTTGGGGCAATTTGAGACAAATTTCATAGATAAACTCTGTTTGGTTACTTGAAAGGAATGCACGTACCCTTTTCGCACCTTTCTTGATATCATTTTTGACGTGAGGTTAAACTGAGCAGAATAATAAAACACAGTTTCATGGTGCTGGAATAATAATTGTTAAGGATCAAGGAAGTTAACGGTTTCCGTGGGCTCCGTAACTACGGAGGAAAAAAGACATTGACAATTCCTTCGTATTGTGAAGAAATGCCTCTGAATACGTTGTATTTTTTTCTCCATCATACGAAGCAATTCTTCCTAAATTTTACAACGCCCATGCTTCGTAGACTTTTCTCTGTAAAGATTGAGCATGTGTCTCAAACCAACACTGGTAAAACCGGAGCGTAGTTGTATGCTTGATTCAAGCATACAACTACGCCTGAAGACTTTATGCTTGACGTCAAGCGTAGAGAAGAAATCCTCCCATGCATTTTGATAGGCGGGAGAGGGGCAAATTGGAGAACTTTGCTTGAAGCCGAGCGTAGTTCTACTACGCGTGAGGAAAGGTGTAAAAGAACGCTTGAGTTCTACCAGTGAAACCACCCTAAAAGTGTCCCCAGTTTACGGTTGCAACTTTTTAAGGCAACTTTGGTACATCATCGTACCACCTGCCGCAGGCGGTGGCGAACACCACTTCCGCACTCCTGGACACCATTCCTCCAATATCAGTCCCGTACACGACGCGCACCCTGCTGTGGGCCGGCCTGCACGCGGGGCCTGCGAGCGAGGCGGCCCAGACCGTGCGCGATCTGTGCCTGTTCAACGCGGCCCTCGCGCTCACCGCCCCCAACGGCAGCACCGTCCTCTACCGCCACGCCTGCAACTGCGGGGAAGGCTCGTGGCGCATCGCCGAGGACAATCGCTGGGACCCCCAGCGCGGCTGGCGGCACGCACAAGGTAAATCCGGGTCTTGGAATTCTCAGGAATATCAGTCAATTCTCCGGAATATCGGCCAATTCTCATGAATATCGATCAATCCTCAGGAATATCGATCGATCTGCATGAATATCGGTATACTCTACAAATCAAAGAGTGTACATAGTATGCTCTAACTGGAGCATGCCTGCAAGCACGCTCTAGCTAGCGCATGCCTGCCAAGCATGCAAACTAGTGCATACATGCCATGTACACGCTTCCTGGTGCAGAAAACTCCCTATCCCTTATGCAGTATGCAGTAAATGTATGCTTCAGTTAGCGTGTACATGGCATGTATGCACTAGTTAGTGCATGCTTGGCAGGCATGCGCTAGCTAGAGCGTGCTTGCAGGCTTGCTCCAGTTAGAGCGTACCATGTACACTCTTTGATTTGTAGAGTATTCTCAGGGATATCGTCCGATGCCCTGGAATATCGGGCAATTTTTAGGGATACCGGTCAATTCGCAGGAAGATCTACAGGAATTTTCTGAAATATTGGTCATTCCCAGGAGTATCGGTCAATTCTCTGGAAGATATTCTGGTTGGAATTCCCAG